GTCCCAAGACAACCAACAAAAGCTTCCACTGTGAAACGTCGCGGTAGTTATTTGACCCTGAGAGGACTAAGTGAACACTTTTTTGCACTTAGAGTCACAATGTTATCTTACTTCCATGTGATCGCAATTTGGAACTAGAAAAATGAAAGCACTCATTTTTATCCAGAGAATAAATAGCATTAGCCTTATTGTCTCCAAGAACGTGGCATCCAAAATAAAAAGCTATTGTTGCTCGAAATTAAGGAAACGTAATATTGAGGCTACGCGACAATTTAAGGTTTTTTAACTTTAGCGGTAAATATCTTTATGTATTTTATTACGTCATAACGGTCTAATGGCACCATTACGCTCGAGGTTAAACTATCGTTTAACGAAATGAATATTTAAACATATTTGAATATTTAGAATAAATAAAACGGCACAAATTAAATTAAACGTTGACATAAATTTATAGTGCAATTGACATAGATCAATGTTAGTGTTATTAAACAGCGGGAAGCAGCTACTTTGTCTATGTTTTGGTGATACACGCAGCGCTATTATAGCGCTGGAAAATTAATGAAGTAATTCTTGTTTACATTCACAAAGGAGCTAGCTGTGTTATAGGTAAATAGACGCATAAAAAGGCCAAAGCATCTAATTTATAGTGTTTGTGTAGTAGAAAAACTTTGCCTTTAAGCTAATAAGGGTAAAGTTCTTATTGGCTATCCGAACGTAAGTCGAGAGACTTAATATTTGCATATTTTTAATGAAGAAACAGAGTTCCAAAACCGTTCCTGAAAAGTATTTAAAAGTTTTTAGACTAAAGTAGTATAAGATAAAAGCTATGTAAATATTTTTCATATGGACTATACATGTCTTTATTACAAAGCTAAAATTTTAAGAAAAATTTGTGAATAGAATCAGCATTTATTTCTTCACTTTGAATATTTGTTTGATAAAATTTTCCTTGAACCATAAAGCTTCTGAGGTTCCGTGCTGTTTAATCCAACTGTCAAACACAAAACCAAACTTTTACAAAGCTAACAATAAATTTAATAACCTTAAAAATATATAATTATTGCCCTATTTGATTTTCACTCTATAATATAAATACAAACAGAATTCCTTTTTTCAGGGTTAAAGCAAAAGTTTCAATATAAACGAAAACATTATTTAATTAGTAGAATTGTAATGAAGAAAATGTATAATTTTGTTAATAAAATTTAGTTTTTAATATTGTGCCCAAAATTTTGTGCCCATCTATCGCATGTCACATTACAGCGAACCGTGAAGTATAAGGCAAAGTGAGTGGCACTCAGCAGAGCATGGCTTGGCTCGCATGACCTAATCGTGTCGGATATATATTTATACTTAGTTATGCAAATGCTCCACATTATACGTGATTTAAATAAATATTTTGCTCAAGTTTGAAAATCCGCCTAGCATGTGAAGAAAGATTGTATGTCTTAAGCACACCATATTCTAATATGTACATTAAAGTTAAAATTTAAAGTGGGATATCGGCAATAGAATGCCCATAATATAACAATTTTAATTTCAAAATACAAAAAAAATAATTGCGATTTTAATCCTACCAATGTTACATCACAGCCTGATTGATATTTGCGGTTGGGTCAAAACTTAAATGTAAATCTTTATTTACACAGATTTTAAAATATTGCGATGTTTAAATCAACTTTGTAGGTAATCGAGTATAAACGAAGCCATTGATAACAGTGTGACATTTTTCCAATAATGGTACTGTTTATTACATGAATTGATGAAGAGAACTATTAAATAGTTGCTATCCAAACAATTCATCTCTAAAGTTGTCTAAACATCTGATGTCTTTGTAATTACTCAGCTAACTCTAACTATAAACGAAATTTTAGTCTCATTAGAACAGTCGTATTAGCATTTAGACAAACATTAGATAGAAATTAGCTAATCTATAGGAAGGATCTTATTAATTTACACCTTGATTACGCATGTTCACATTATGTACATCTTCGTAATGGTTATTATTTTTAGATTCATATGTAACAGGAACTTACAAATATATTTGTCAATTTGCTTGTTCCTCTTATCTGGGGAACGCACTACTTAAAAGTAAAAAGTTGATGATTTGAGAAAATGAAGATATGATATTACATGGAAAATACTGTAAATCACAAGTAAGGCAGATTTTTATCGTTTAAAAAACGTCATAATAGATTTTTTATGCAGTCTTGTTTAGAAATATGTATGTAGGTTTAATTTTCGATGAACCCGATGGATGGAAATGCATTGTTCTACAATAGATAGATATAAGATCATAACTAATTAATATTTCGTTTTATTTAATATTAATCCGATTAATTTTCAATGAATAAAATTTCAAAACTACATAGCAAATATCAATGCATATACATAAATAAAACGTTCAAGTATTTATTAACCATTAATTAAAAGGAGATTACTTAGGAGTTGGATAAGCCGACAGATTTATTATTTGGCGATAAGCAAGTTGTTTAGGAAAATTGAAAGTAGGACGTTTTGTTGGAATATTGAATTTAACAAAATTCATAAATAAGCAGCTAAGCTCTTGGGTTGTATTATCGCCGCTTTATCGGAAAATGTTGATTATATGATATAAATTAATGAAGATAACGGGAATTGGGCTCCATGTGGAAAATAGGGACCTTCTGAAACCATAAACCTGAAGAGATGATTTAAATAATCCGATTATTTTATTATAGGCTTATCTGAATATAAAATATGTTATTTATTAACCATTTTTACGTTAATTTTTAAAAGTTTGGCTTAAATGAAGATAAATTAAAACCGTATTTACCTATATATGTACGTTTAAAATATATTAAAACTTTTAAAACAATAGGAATAATAAAATGATATTACTATTTGTTATAGTATTAATTCAGTTCATATAATATTGAAGTACCTTTCTTGTAATGGTCATTTTTGAAATGTTTTTTATTTATTAAAAAAAAAATACCTCATTGTTTCGTTACAATCAATAAATTAGTGATATTTATGATATGTTAAATTATATACAAATTTCAGTGTCCACATGCTCTTGAAACTGTCATACTGTTATTGGAATTTTAAACATTGTTTAGTAATGATTTTAACAACATTAATAAATCTATTTTATTATAGATATTTTATAAATGTTTAAAAATATTTCATTTCAGACTGAAAGAAAAAAATATAAACTACATAACGAATAATTAAGATCAAAAACAAAGTTAAATTGCTCTGACGTCATATTAAGGACTGCAATGAACCAGGTAGTTATTAAAAAATGTACTTGAAAGTATTAAAATTTTATGTATATTGTACATACATATGTATATATATATATATATGCATACTAAGAGGTGTATATATGTATATAATTTACGTGGCCCTTCATTATTATTCGAGTCATGTTTAAGTCTCGCGCAGTTGATGCTTCTATCAATTGAGCTGAAAAATCGAAACTCAGTCTGCTATTTACCCCGAATATATTAATATATAAGAAAAAATATTTTTATAGATATTGTAATAAATAATAGTATAATAGAAGAAACGCTTCAAAATTTAAAAAAATAACTTATTATTTTCATTACTTTTTGCTTTAGTTTGGAATTTTTTCTAAGTCTTCTTATAATTACGAAAACATATAAAGAACCAAGTTCTAAAGTTGGAAAAAATAAAGGAAAACGTCTTTAATTAAGGAATAGCGACTCATTTATTGTTTACAACTTTCCTAGATTTCAGACATCTCTTTAATTTATAAATTTACTTAAAAGTAGTTGTTTATAATGTTTCGAGTTGGTAAGTAATGATGTAAAAAATATGTTAAAGATTTTTTAAATAAATCTGCCCCATACTCTCTAAAAGGGAAAAGCTGTATTTTGTGAATAAGTATTTAATGTAATTTATATACTAGAATAATCAATACAAAAACTTATTATGTCAGATCAAATGATTTAAATACCGTGTACATATAAATATAAAGAAAACCAATTTACATCAGTTCGATTGTAATAAGTAATGACAAGTGGAAAATGGTCCTCATTACAATGGATGATATTTTATGGCAAACTGATTAACAGTTCACATAAGTACCTATATATTTTCTAATTCTTTCGATAGAATGAAATCATGAATTTTAAAAATATTTGATTCATTATATACCAAAATTTAGTTTTTATTGGTGCTGAAGTGGAAAATATATATTTTCATGAAAAATAGGTTCTTATTTGTTTCTTTTTCAATGATATACCTATATCTAGTTTAGTGTCTATTAAATGTATTAACAGGTGTAACTATAAATACTAAGTTTTTTTACGAAATATTACATTTACCTTAAACTGATAGAAAATTTTATTAGAAATTCCTGTGCAGCTCTATGTCATTCTGTCGCAGTATTTGTCTTGGCTAAAACTTTAGTTCAAGAACCATTAGCGTCCATGAAAACAGATCGATAGTGAAATTCGTACCACTTACCACTTCACTACTGTTTTAAGTAGTTAACAAAACTTATTATAACACAGCTAACGTATTATGTATGTATATGAGAACCATGATAACTATAACTGTCATTAACATTTATGTATTAGCTTTACATAATGTTCTGCTACGGGGTCAAGTAGTGTATTTAAATTATTTGTTCGTACAATCTAGGCATAAATACAAAGCTACACATACAAACATAAAACTTCAGTTCAATTTGAATGATGATTGTATGTTTGAAAACTCGGTTATATCTCCTAAATTTTAATATAAAAAGCATTTTAATATATAAATGCATTAAAATAAAATTGATCAAAGAAGAAAGAGTTATTTTCAGAATTTTCCGCAGCTCATTAACATGGAGATTGACCCGCATAACGAAAATGACGTGAATGAACTCTATTTTATGTAAAATTTGACAATCTGGTTTTCTTTTATACCTTATTTATGGAAGTTTAAAAAGTATTTTTTAATAAAAGTATCACATTATTTATTTAGAGTCACAAGAAATGCCTTACCTCTTTACCATTCGAAGCACATCGTTTCTTTGCTTTTACTTGATCTATAAATTCATCAGTTATAGCCTCTCCATCTATTGAAGTCTCATTGCTATTTTTTCTCGAATGTATAATGAGATCTGGTTTATCTGAGCTCATTGAATTACTCGCATTTTCATTAGTGCAGTTCTCTCGACCAGAACTTCTGTCTTCATTTGTACGCGACTTATCATCTCGACTTTTGATTTTAAAACAAGATATGGATTTTTTATCTTCCTTGGTCTCAACGCAACCACTGTCTATATGCTTGGAATGTAGATTGTCTTTGCATTTGTTGAATCCAAATTTAAGTCTCTTTTTCTTACCATTCCATTTCGTATTAACAGTTTTAGGAGTACAGCTGTCGTCACTCACACTCTCAGAACAAACTGGGTTAACTAGAATTTTAGTTGTTTTACCATTTCTCTCGATCTTTTTTAAATTCAAAAGATTACCCGATGAATCGACATACTTTGGAATCGATATTATTGGAGAGTGTTCCCTGTTGCTATCACTAATTACATTGTCATCTCTCGGAAATATCCCGATAGTTTTTATAACTTCGTCAGCGTTTTGATTCGTTTTCGTAGATCCTAGTGGCCCCATTGTAATAGGTGGTCCTCCTTTGAATAGTAAAGCTGTTTCTGTTGGTTGACACACACAAGCTAACATTTTTATCTAGACAATCCGATCCATGATCACTTTTTCACTTACATTTTTGTTTTAATATAACCTATACTGTAGAACATATTTATAAGCAATGAATGAAAAAGCTCATTTCACGTTCAAGCACAATTTTTGCAAGATTTTTCAACGAGATAAGTAGGTACTTAGCAATATCGTGTAGTAGTAACATAGCTTTCTAACGTTCTCACTGATATTAAAATTCCGTGCTCGTAAGTGGAATTTCGGTGCATTGTTACTGGATATATATATATAAATTAAAAATTGTATAATTTTCTATATGTTTTGACATAAGATAGATATTAAAATTCTGGATTATATATATCTTATTAAACCTCTATTAATTAAACAGTCTCGTTTGGTATTTCGTATTAGTTCGCTGATAAAACTCTCGAAAACAACTTCGACTGTTCGGAGAGCGCAGTGAAATATACAAACATTTTGTACCGCGAAAGACAATGAAATCCTCATATATTTTGCATATCCCTGAGTTCTATCTTCGCTTTCGTATTTACTTTATTATCTCAACAATTCCTTTTATTTCATTACTACCTTTTTTTAAACCAATATTTAAAACAGAACAGGTAATTGCTTTATTCTAAATTGCACCAACAACGAATACAAAATACGTACTTAATTTTAATATTAGATCTGTTAATTTCCTCTGATAATATTATCATAAGAATTATTGTTACACGAAATTGTACTTCTTCTATACAATTTGTTAAACCTCTCGTAAGTTACAATAGAATTAAAATATTATTAGTTTATATTGGTATAATTCAGATCGAAATCCTATAAACGTGTATGACTTGAGGCTAAGAACAAAGCAAATACAATATACTTTGAAACATTTTATTAAACTTCACATCCTCAATAGAAATCCGTTTCAAATTAAAAGACACAGAAATGTTTTTGTTTATAATAAATATGTGGAATTACTATTATATCCATATTAATTGAATAAATAATTATTGGCCTTTGATAGATATTAATTTATCTCTATAACTGTTTCATATATCGTTATTATTACAAACCGCACCTATTTGTATTCACCCAACAGACATAAAATTTAATTAAGATAATGAAACTAACTAAATATATCTTATTTCAAATATTACTGTTATATAGTTAAGTATTTTATAATTATTCATAAACATAAATGCTCTATTCAATATTTTTTTAATACAGCTATGAATTCTTTTGTAATTCAACTCCCTTCTTTTAAAACCAAAAGGATTGAGTGTGTATAAACTGCTTGCAACCGATTCTTTGTTCTAGGTAACCTTTAAATACCTGATAAAAGGCACAAGGAACAAAAACAATGCTTTTATTTACTAGAGAAAAAGTTTCGCGTTTTAAAAACAATACCTTTAAAATCAGTGAATAAGAATCAGAACGAATTTTAATGCTATATTAAATAAAGCAATAATAATTTCGGTTCAAGCACAATTTGACAACATATTAATACATAATTACAATAATCTTTGTAATGCCGTATGAAAAGTACAAGGATATTAAATGCAGCAGTGTTCGTATTATTGAAATAAATTTAGTCGACTATTAATAAGCCGATCATATTAAAACTAACTCCACGGCATATGCACGCTTAATAATAGCTAATAATAATAGTTCCATTTCTATTTTGTCATAAAAACGTTCCATTGCGCTATAATGAATTGACAGAAATAGTTCCACAAAATATTTCCTTTTGCAGAATCTACTGAATAAACGCTGAAAAGCCTGAGGAGACCACGGAATAAAATAATAATGTCGACTGGGATTTCATTGTTACGATCATACATTCATATGTGTCGTAAAAAGAAATAAAAGATAAGATGAAGTGACCGTGAATGTCTATTTAACTGTGATATATAATAACGATACCAAGTTGGTACACAAAGACTGCGAAAACTTACAATGATATGTAAGGAAAACTATTGAATTACAAATAACTTTGCGGAAAATTAGGATTTTTATCAGTGCAACTAAAATAACACTCTTTTTCTACTATGTATATGTATATTGCATACTTTCTCACCCATATTTCCTGAGTGATGTATTATTGTTTATTAAAGGTAAACGATAGATATTTATGTAGACAAATATTTTAAGTAGACGCCAGTATCTTAATATGTAAAATCATTATTATTGAATATTTTTAATTTAATAAAGTAATAAATCGATAATAGGAAGTACCTTGTCACAGTTGTATTTTAACATGGAATGGAAAATATTTTTACGGTCGAAATAAAATAGTGTTTTTTAATTAGGTACCTATTTAATAAAAATGCACATATATCGACATGGTACAAAAGTCGACACGATCTAGAAGAAGAACACAGACATTATGCAGTAATCAAATCCGTTCAAGCAAAAGCACAGGTAAAAGCTAGCATTTAGGAAACAGCTTAATGAAATCATGTATTAATTACACTATTAAAATCTATTTATGTTGAAAATTGAAGCCATATAGGCCTTATATATCTCAGTAACAAGTCTGTCTGAGAATGATTTTCATAAACAAAGTTTGCTAAAGTAACATAAAAATAGATTTTTATCTTAGTATCAGATTGGAATAATAAAGACGCCTCCGAGATATCTCTTCAAACAAGTCTTATAAACTCAATTAATATGAAGTATCTGAAAGAGAGATATCATACAAAAAGATAAAATAACTGCAATTAAAACACAATCTATTTCATAACTGACATGTCAATTTAAAGACTCCTCAAATAACTGTAAAATAATTCTTAAAATGCTGACAAATTTGTTATATAGGTATATTTTCTTATATAAAATGTCTTTATACCTAAATTTAATACGGAGATATTGTTTTCAATTTTAAAACATAATTTTACTCATATCATTTACATTAAAAATATGTTATGACCTGTGAAGTTACGTTTAAAAATAATTGTAAATATAATAACTTCATTATAATGCAGTCAAACCTTGAAAGCTAGTAGAATAACAGTAATTAGCATTTGTACTGAGGTGTAACAAGACAAATTATCCGACCAATTTAACACTGGGAAGTATTTCATAATGCATAACAACAGCATCCCTAAGATTTCACAGTAAACCCCATTACTGAATCTGTTAGATGAACTAATCAGTATATTAATGACGTTCATACCACTGATGCAATTACCCAATTAATAATATGAATATTAATACAAAATTAACGTCAAAGCCAGAATAATAGTTTATGAAACAAACCAATCACCAACTATCTTTTGAAGTATATAATAAACGCTCATCTGACATTTAATTATTTACAAATAACTTGTCATTACTAAGATTTAAGGAACATATTCTAGAGAAACAGCTAGTTTTCTGAATAGACCATGGTATGAATTATTGTATAGGAATGCCGTGTATTGAGGCTGTCGATTGAATATAAAGCTGACAGAAATCTTATAAGCAATGCTTTTCAGAACACGGACAAAAAACCTCAATAAAACATTATTACTATACTCTTTTTAAAACAAAATAGGTACACGTATAAAATGTAAAAAAAACATCTTGTTTAATATTAAAATTATGAACAAGTATATTAATATATGTAAATCTTTATCGATTTATCCAAAACTTTGACAAACATTTGTTCAAAAGACACCTGATAAAGAAACTTTGTTTTCGAACAAATGTTGCGTTAACTTCTATCTACAGGTGAATGAAATAAACCGTTATAATTCATAAATAAAGTCCGTCCTAAATAACCACTTATCGGACTTAAATCTCTTAAACACTAAGTACGTAAGACGATAAGCCATTGAAGTAGTTGTACATGGTCGATATTACTCCAATCTAGGTATATAAGCCAGATGCGATACTCAAAGTCTAACCTACTTCAAAGTATAGTGAAGGTAAATAAATTATAACTGAATTTAATAGAACATTATCTTATCTATTTGGTATAAGTAATAAATAGGATAAAAAAGTTATTTATTTATGAATGAAACAGCAAAAATAAATTCGAAACAATATGAACGCAAAAGTCTATAAACATCAAGAATTATTTTGACATAGACAAATAATATGAGAATTAAAGTACAATAAACTGATTATAATGTGATTGATGTTAACTGAAACAAAATGGATTTCGATCAAGTGTGTGATATAATTATTGTTTTATCTAAAAGTATTTTATTAAAATAAGTTTAAGGTAAATTTTGTTGTTGATTGAATTGTTTTTGTGTTGTTAATTAGTCTCCTAGTCTCGTTATTGTTACTTAATTGAACCAATTTGTAAGTTGGCGAAGCGTATATTTTGTTTGAACAGAAACAACGGACGAAAATATTTAATACATTTCTATTTGGACGTTAAAATAAAATTAAACTTTAAAATAAATCAAACTGACATTAAATGAATGAATGGACTAAAAAGAATCACATATAAAAAAAGGAAACCCAGAATAAATCTCTTTCCTTTTGAAATCATAGATACTCGAAAAGAATTCAGAAACATACCAAAAATAGCAATTTCATATATTTTTATTAAATTTTAATTATGATTTTAAATTTTTACTTGACTCTTTTAGAATATCTCTATAATTCTTATAAAGCGTATTTTAATGATTTTATCCTCAAATTATTTCATTCATTCATTCAGTTCTTCTCATACTCTTACGTTAGAAATTAATTAAATGAGATGAAAACAAGTTGATTTAAAGTCACATAAATTCTCAAATTAATAAATTTCTATAAAGCCGAGGGGAAGATATGAAATACCTCCTTGCATAAGACCTACTATTTCATTCCTTAGTAACCAATGTGTTCAAAACTAGCAACTTACTCCAGATACAATTACAAGTACGTGAATTATGAGTAAACTTTATCTGAAGACTAACTAAAGGAAACTTTCTTCATGTCATCTTAGTAGAGAATTAGTTTAGGAGTTAGTTGGTCAGATGTTTTCCTTAATTGTGATGTTATGCGGACTTAGGTATCGTCCTACGTACAATTTATTGCACATAATTTTA